CAGGGCCGAGGGAGGGAGCTGGACCTTTGCGTGTTGAGTGTGAGTCCAGGGACATGGGCTGGGGGAAGGGGGCTGGACCCTGCCCCCCATGGAGGCTTCAGCAACTTTGTGGGTTTTTTTTTTCTTTTGAGACAGGGTCTTGCTCTGTTGCTCAGGCTGGAGTGCAGTGGTGTGATCTTGGCTCACTGCAAACTCCACCTCCCGGGTTCAAGTGATTCTCCTGCCTCAGCCTCCTGAGTAGCTGGGATTACAGGTGCACGCCACCACGCCTGGCTAAGTTTTGCATTTTTAGTAGAGACGGGGTTTTGCCGTGTCAGCCAGGCTGGTCTCGAACTCCTGACCTCAGGTGATCTGCCTGCCTTGGCCTCCCAAAGTGCTGGGATTACAGGCGTGAGCCACCGTGCCCAGCCAGATTTTTCCTTTTAAAAACTGTATTAATTAACCTAATTTCACCACGTAGCCTTTTTTTTTTTTTTTTTGAAAATAAGTCATGTTTTTAATTATAAAGATAATATAAGGACATTGGAGGAAACCCCGTTCCCCACTGAAGCATGAGGTCCGCCTCCTGCCGCGCTGCTTCCTTCCCTGTTTTTAAATGTTCTCATGTTTCTTCACACAGTCATAATCACAGCGAATGCCCAATTTGGGGCTCTGCTGTTTCTATTTCGTGTCATAAGCAGTTTCCCTGTTGCTGCCTCATCTTCATAATCATCCTTTTACTTTCCTGCACGGTTACCAGTGGATGTGCAATCGTTTACTTAAGCATTCTCTTTTTATTAGACGTCTCTGAATTTCTGCTAACTGCAGTGCTGTGAATATTCACCACGTCTCCTGCTACTATTTGTTGAGGGTTTAGGACATGCCAGGTGCTGTGACACATCCTTTGAATACATGATTTCTAGTCCTCCCAACAACTCCACAAAGTAGTGACTGTTGTTCCCTTATCGTAGATGAGAGAAGAGCCTTGGAGAAGGTAAATAAGCTGCCCAAGCTTGCACAGCTAGAGGCACAGGTGGGATTGGAACCCCAAGCTAACGTGCAAGCTCCTTTGTGCCTCCTCCTCTCTACCCGGTAATGTGGGTCGGCTTGTGCCTTGAGCAGAGAGGCTCATTCCGCGTTCATTCACACATTCTTCCACCCACACTTACTGATCACCTACGATGTGCCAAGCACGCCCCTTCTCCCAGCTGAGAAGCGACAGTCTGGATTCAAACCCATGTCTATGGGATGCCAAAGCTAGTGCGTTTACCACCAGGCTATCCTGCCTCTCCCCTTCAGCCCTCCCTGGCTGGCTGTGCCCCCAAGTACAGCACAGGGGTAGCAGGCCATGCACCCACCACAACACTCGGGTCAGAATGAGAAGTGCAAATCTAAGTCTTAGGGGAAGGATCGATTATTATGAACTTCAATAAAGGGATGACTGGCCGGGCGCAGTGGCTCACACCTGTCATCTCAGAACTTTGAGAGGCCAAGGCGGGTGGATCACCTGGGGTCAGGAGTTCGAGACCAACCTGGCCGACATGGCGAAACTCCGTCTCTACTGAAAGTACAAAAATTAGCTGGGTGTGATGGCGGGCGGCTATAATCCCAGCTACTCGGAAGGCTGAGGTAGGAGAATCACTTGAACCCTGGAGGCAGAGGTTGGAGTGAGTGGAGATCGCCCCATTGCACTCCAGCCTGGGTGACAAAAGCAAAACTCCATCTCACAAAATAAAAATAATTAAAAAATACTAATAAAGGACATGACTCCCTGGAACTAGATCATGTTTGAGATTGTTCTGAGGCAGAGATGGCAATAATAAGCACACATGCCTCTGCCTGTTGTCCTTTGCCGCGGCAGACATTACTAATCACACGTGCCACTGCCTGTCATCCTTTGCCATGGCAGACATTACTAATCAACCACAGCACGCTTTCTTGCTAGACTTGGATGTGACTTTGTAATCCTCCACCCAGTGTTGACCCATGTGACCTCTCTTGATAAGAGTTGGCATTCGGAATAACACCTGTATTCCATTGCTAGCCTGAAGGATATTGAACGTGGATAGTCTAGAAGGGAGGGAGGAGTGTGGGGTGGGGAATAGGAAAATGTGAGCCCAGCCAGGAGGGCTTTGCTCTTCTTGACACCCAAGTGGTTTGGGATGTTTGACAACATGAATCGTCTAGGCCAGAAGCCTGGTAAGGTGATGGGGTGGAGTTGCTCCCTGCAGGCGGGACAGACCCCAGAACCCAGCTCTCATCACTCCATGTGCTCCACGTGTGTGTTTCCCAGTCAGGCTTCTCAGGAGCAGGGATCGCTCTTGCTTCTGGCAAGTTCTCAGTCAACCCCTGTCAGTGGTTCTGTGGTTCTGGACCCAGGAGTTGAGGCTGGAAGAGCCAGGCTCCCTCTAGCTCATGGCTCCCTCTGGCTCATTTGCAGGAAGCACCAGCAGTATGACTGTAAGTGGTACATTCCCCTGGCCGACCTGGTGTTTCCGTCCCCCGAGGAATCTGAGGCCAGCCCCCAGGTGCACCCCTTCCCAGACCATGAGCTGGAGGACATGAAGATGAAGATCTCCGCCCTCAAGAGTGAAATCCAGAAGGAGGTGAGCAGAGCTTGGTATCTGAGCCTGGGGCCCTTTGAGCCAGCTGTGCTGGGGGAGGTGGAGGCGGGAAGTTGTAAGGTTTGAGAGTTTGAGAGGCAGCCTTGAGTGTGTAGTTACTAGGGGAAAGACCCCAACTACAGTAGCTCCAAGCAGATCGAGGGGGTCAGTGCTCAGGATTTCGTGGGGCTAACATGGAGAGTGCCCTGGAAAGCAGTGCATGTTGAACACGATAGAAAGGGGAAGCAAGCAGCCAGGCGCAGTGGCTTACACCTGTAATCCCAGCACTTTGGGAGGCCGAGGCAGGTGGATCACCTGAGGCCAGGAGTTTGAGACCAGCCTGGCCAACATGGTGAAACCCTGTCTCTACTAAAAGTACAAAAATTAGCTGGGCACGGTGGTGGGCGCCTGTAATCTCAGCTACTTGGGAGGCTGAGGCAGGAGAATGGCTTCAACCCGGGAGGTGGAGGTTGCAGTCAGCCAAGATCATGCCATTGCACTCTAGCCTGGGCAATAGAGTGAGATTCTGTATTTAAAAAAAAAAAAAAAAAAAAAAGGCAGGGGGGTCGGGGAAGCAAGAGAAGAAAAAGGAGGCTTTTGTAAGGAAAAGCAGGACCTGTGCAAGGAAAAAGACCTGGGAGGCCTCTCAGAAACTGACAGATCAAGTAGGCAAATAAATAAGGAGAGAGAGAACCTGAATGCCACAATTAACA